GGCGTTTTATTCCAAAAGCTACTTGATCTGCTGTTTCCTAATTAATATCTCGATTAAGATAAAGTATGTCGAATGAAAAAGAGATTATTAAAAAATATTATTCCTCATAAAAAAATTGTATTGATCCATAAACTTTTCAATTAGTTATAGCATTATTAAGTTAAAAATATAAAAAAAAATTATTTTACAGAAATCGTAATTTTTTATTAATTTTTGATGTCAACTTTCACCACGAAGACAAGTCCAGAGGTCAAATTTTTTTTTTTCAAATTAAAGTATATTACATAAGCTTCAATTTAAGATATATATAAAAGTGTCAGACCTTCCGGAACATTTTCAAAAGGTAAGTTGAAAAAGTTAATGTTTTGTGAAGAAGTTGTCATTTTAAATCCCCCCCTGTGGGCAAGTTAAGTGTCAGATTTACAAAAAAATATACCAAATGATAGGTAATGATATTATGCATCTATATAAAAAAAAATTATATTGATATGTTTATTTTTGAAAAAGTTATGGCACTTTTAAGTAAAAAAAATTGAAAAAATTTCGAAAATTAGCNTATTCTCCCGGTATACACATATTTTTTTTAAAAATCTATATATTAACATGTTTATTAACAAGGGGGGATTCAAAATATCTTTTTTTTTTTTTTTAAAATTCAGATTTTTCAACTTAAGTTTTAAAAATGTTCCCAAAATACCGCACCCTTTAAAAATATCACTTATCTTCAATGTGTAAATATTTGATTTTCGATTTTATATTTTCAGCATTAAAATATTACAACTATTTGAAAAATTTTCTTTTTATAAATACTTTATATAATTCCCTTTCATCCAATATAATTTTTTTTTAATTCGAACTATTTCCCTTTATATAGGAGGTTCAAATCTTGAAATATTTGAGTAAAATTTAGAACTTTTTCATCTTAGCTTTTTTTAAAGTTAGTGATGATAGAAAAAATCTAATTGCATATTTGAAATCAGTGTGAACATTTTTCTTTTATCAAATAAAAAGTTGCTTAACCTACTTTCTCCATATAGACAATTAAAATTATTCATTTATAATGTATAAATTAAATTTAACATGATAAAACTCAACTACAATATTGAATAATCTTACTTTGTCATTTATTAATTTTTTAACTCTGTTTACAAGTTCCACTGCCAGTCTATAATAATTTAAACTTTTTGGTAACATGTTACTGTATAAATAATTTAAAAAAAAAATGTATGGACTGTATTAGCCAAAGCTATTGTCTTCAGTTACACTTGCACTATACATTTTATTTTCTTGATAATGTAAGATTATGGGCACATGTAGTTAATTTACCAAGTCATCTATGGAATGCCTTGAAATAGTATTCCAGTATAAAGCCGACTTAATTTCATCTAGTTAGAAAAAATCATTAACTTGCTTTTGGAATCATCCAACAATTTTTTTTTAAATTAAACACTCTCTATAGATTTGTATCGAAGCATTTTATTTTTATAGTGATTTTAATTAATATCAGGTATCATCTATACTTGTCGCAACTATACCGCGTCCCTACTGTACTCATTATACCATCGTGTTTTTAATACAGCGTAAGGTATTCTATTATGATTAGTTGGTAATGGTATAAAAAATGTTAATGAATTTAACTCTGAATATTAATGAAAATAAATATTTTTTTCAAAATAATATTTAGCTATTTGAAATAGCCTATTTTACATAATTTATAAGAAAAACGCGATTAAAAATAAATTAACTTCAGTGTTTAATTTTTATAACTAGTATACATTATTGGGTTAATGTAATAGTTACTAGAACTAGCACATTTTTTAAGAATTAACTTTTAGTATTTACATAATTTTTTTGTTATGAAAGGTTCTAAGGATATCTTTTATCTTTTTATCTAGGGATACATTTTTTTTAGAAAGCCAATAAACTAATTACGAATTTTTATGTTGCAATTTTTGCATATAAAAATATGCAAAAATTTAAAAAAACTTAAAAAAGTTTAAGTGTTATTTTGCATATATTATTGTTTTAGCGATATTTCAGTACCGTAATAGAGAAAAATATCAGAAAGGTCAAAACATGTACAATTATAAATATTTTATCAACCTATATGAAAATGCCAAAAGAATCTTTTAAAAAATGTCCTCTTAATTAGTAAACTGAGGAATTTGAGAACAATCTTTAAATTTACAAAAGTATGATTTAAAAGTCACATTTTTATATTATATCTATTTTCTTTTTTTAATACAGCTTAAAATAAATATATATATATATATAAAAATAAACACCTTATATAAAAATTCTTTTATATAAGGTTATAAAAAAATTTTCATCGATAATATTTTATAAGATAAATTCAAACTTTTTTACATTTTTATTCTTATTATTTATAAATGAATTGCATGTTTTTTTAACAATAAAGAATTTAATATATCTGTTAACATTTTCAAGTGGTTGTATGAGATTTTCGCTACTCCCTATACATATTTCTATAGCTATATAATACCTATTTATAAGCTATCATACTTTCTTTTATTATAATTTTATGAAATTTATAAATTCTATCAGTATTTTTGTTACTATTAATATAATTATACTTTTACAGCGTAGAAATTGGTGTTTCAACTAATGAAACTAGATAGAGATTAAACAATTATTTTCTAAGAAAGGAAAGTTTAACATAAAGTAATTGCATTGATTTAAAAAATGTTGTTTCCGGCAGCAAGTCTAAGCCAATAAAAAATAAAGGAAAACTAACAGTTTTCTATTAATTTTTAAAATAGCTTTAAATGTCTTATGAATTAATAAAAATTCATTNACCCCATTTACGGAGAACGAGGGAAAATTTTTCAATTTTGAAGGGTAATGTCTTTGACTAAATACGATTTGTGATCTTTTGACGTATCGTTGAAAGAAATCCGTTCGGTGAGAGCTGAGAAATAGTGGTAACAGAGAAAAAAAAAAAAAAAAAAAAACACATCTTAGTAAAACCAATACCTTCTCAGCTTCGCATCGAAGCTAAAAACGTTATGATTAACTCTAACCCAAAAAACATGTTTTAAGATTTCTTACTTGTTTATTAATTTTATTGAAAAATAAATTAAAATTGCAATTAATTGAATAAATTGAATTGAATGCAATTGAATTAATAAAAATTCATTATAAATGAAATGTTAGACTAATAATTTCGTAAGACATAAATATTGAAATTATTAAACAGTTAATATAATTATTTGGTACATGATTATAATACAAATAAGTAGTTAAAGTTTCAATTATTATAAATCATTTAAATGTTGCTAAATTCATTATTATTGAGCCTATTTTAACTTCTCTCTGACTAAAAGTTTGATATATATATATATGAGTAAACTAAATTGTTTTAAACCAAGTTTCTAAAATACGAGACAGAATAAGGATAGACACCCTTAAAATTTCCTCTTAAACAATTTGGTGATAAGTAAATAATTAAATGAGTATTAACAAGTAGTTTTAGGAAACACAATTTTTAAAACTAATTAAGAGTTTGAATGATAGTCAGTTAAAATAATGAAAGTAAAAAGAATATTTTTCGAATAAGAACAATAAATAATTCATAAAATAAGTGTAGTAATTTTAACATTGTTTTTACATATAAACAAAAGATTTTTAACTTTATTAACAATCATGTTACCAAGTAAATTGATTGAACTTAAATATGGTAAATAACTTATAAATTTTAAAAGTAAATATATGTCTAATCATTGTATTTATGTAAGTTGAATGACTTCTTTTTTAACTGAAAAAAAAAACTTAAATACGCCTGTCCCAAAACTTAAAACTGTCCCAGTTAACCATCGCCCCATGTTGACTCGTCTAATGGTACAGTAATTTTAATATAATCGAATAACTTTAAAAAGAGTCATTATATTTGATTGGAATAAAGTGAGAACTATATTAAAGTGCAAAAATATTTAAATTTGAATATTTAAAGTTTTATTTAAACTTATAAATTATTGTGTATTACAAAATATTAATGTTATTCAGTAAAATTTGAGTATTTTATAATGCTTAAAAAATTCAATAATCAATTGTAAATTTTTAATATAAAATCTATTCAATTGGAAGTATTTTTAAAAAGTTATAAAACGCTATCAATAAATTCTCATAATACCGTAAGAGAAAAAACGTGTACAATATAGTTCTTTAACAAGTTATTAATATTCTCTGACGTATATCGTTGATTTATTATAAAAACAAGAACAATAGCTATAGGCTACAAGAACAATGTCTTTGTGAAATACATTTAATAGTATACACTACAAAAATCCAATTAAAATTTAAATTAAGATGTTAAATGGTTCAAGAAGTAAACAAAAGAATATACTAAAAAAGTTTGGACTTAAACCAAAATATTAATAAAAATATCTAGAACTTATTATTTTGGTATTTTCTATTACTTATCACTTATGTTCTATTTGGCAATCCTATTAATTATCAATAAATCAATATTTTACCATCTTGAGAAAATATTTAAATTTCTAAATGTCAATCATGCCATTAATTTTAACTATTAGATACAATATTCCTTTCAGATAATAATATTATGTTAGAGCACTTTGACGTTTGCTAAATTCTATAGGTGGTTTGGTAAATGCATTACTAATAAAACGGGACACCAAAGTCACCGTGTCGTATCTCCGTAAACGTATTATCTTTTATGATTATTAAGTTATTTTTCTTATTTTTCTCTAACGACCGAACCAAACATAATTTTATTTAACTCTTTAAAACCCCAATAAACTTTGACTAACAAAAATACAAAACGAAGCCTTTTATGTTTATACATAGCAATAAAAATGTTTTTTGCTAACGTAGAGATTTTTTAGTGAACCAAAGTTCTTATTTATATATTATAGAATATCATAACACTGCGCTTTCAATGTTCAAAAGCATACAGAGGGCGCCAGCAGCACATCAACGGTTCTTTGGTTTTGTACTATGATGCCTCAGTCGCACAACGCGGCCGTGACTACGACGTACTTTTTACACCGGTGACCATGTTCAGTCGGTTAATATGGCAAGCCCTAATAATATAATACTACAATTCGTATAATAAAAAACATCAATTTGTTTTGTGTTTCTTTTGTGAACATAACCTAAAATGGAAAGTATATACCCGAGACGAATTCCTATGCTGGGAAATCTCACTGGAACAGGATGGACAGTAGCCAGTCAAGAGAGTATATTATCTCTTATCGTCGTCCTAGGCAGCAGTGTATCTTTAGTTGGTCTCATATTTGCTTTCATTACATACAGGTATTACATTTATGAGTTATTTTGTCTTGACACATAAAAAATACATTTTGTAGTTCCAAATTCGATGGACGAAAATATATATGTCAGGTGTTATTGAATTGCTTATGGATATTCGGTTTTCAATTTTATATATTGTTTTATTGTTTAGTCATGTGTATTAGTGATAGACGTAAAGATCATTGTAAGTTATATGGTGTCAGTGTCATATTATGTTATGGTATGATTAGTTCAACGCATCAAGTTGAAATTTTCTCTAAAAATATTATGTTTAAAACACTATTTAATTGTGTAATTAATTATTCCACCTATACTTTTAATTATTCCATGTAATGTAAAAATATTGTCACTTTTCCATATATTATTTGTAATATTTATGATGAAAAAATATTCTTTTTATTATTTCAATTTAAATTGTATTTTTGAAATTTGAGATGACCGAAAAAATATTTAACTATTTATTCAAACAAAATCGAATCAATGTTTTTTTTTTGTTGATAGACTTATCAATCATGTAGACTATACACGTGTATATTCGAAACCTGCCTGAGGGTAATATTTCTATTGTTTATCTGTAAATGTTATCGTACTTTGTAAGATTATACTAAAAGTCCACTAGCTTAATAAAATAGGAAAAATGTTGATTTTTTACATTAAGTACTTAATTAACATGTGATTAAAATGTGTGATGAATATAACTAAATAGTAAAATTAGTCTTAATATTTTTATTATACAACTTTTGAACTTTACATGAAAAAAGGTTAACAATAAGCATAATGAAAAATTTATTTATAGTTCAATTCAATCACGAATTGTATCCATTTTATTAAAGACACTTTCGAACTGTCCAAGAAAAAACGCCGTTGTTCATTTGCTTACTAAGAGTATCGCCTAACTGCATTATCATTCATAAATGAACAACTACTGCTAGTCTCTCTTTAAATTTATTATTTATTAAATAGAATATGTAGTTTATAGTTAATTATTAAAAATTTACCTTTTATTCATTTGTATATCAATATAAAGTACTTTGTTTTGTTAATAATACCACATTATCAATAGCAATTAGTTTATTAAGTATATAATATCGTTATAAATATATATTAATATATAAAATCCATTTGAAATAAATAATATATATTTTTTTTTTATTTATAAAATTCAAAACAAATATTTTAAACTATTACTGGAGGTTACCGTAACTAAAATCGTATAATGAATTATGAAATAAATATTTAAGAAATTAGTATTTATATTTAATTAGTTGATATTTGGTATCCAAACAGCAACTTGTTCATTTTGCTCTTACGTATACGTTAAAATTGTAGTATTTACAATTAAATTCTATTATAAATTGTTTATAATGCATGCCATAGACATTTCGACGATTGGTAAGTGTTTTAAACAAGTTAATTATTAATTATTTGGGTCGTGCGTACGACAGATCATATTTCAATAAAATAAATTTAACAATGGATAACAAAGGCAATTCGCCGTTTGCAACCGTCCAGCATAGTACTTTGAAACAAATGTAAGCTGATAATGATATATTAAACAACAAATAACAGCAAGAGAGTATTGCAAAATTACAAAAAAATAAATTTCAAATGAGTCAAGGGTCCTTAGATGATATTTTTGAGCTCATCTAAGAAACTGTCAAATTGATAATAAAAGATGTGAGTCCTTCTGCCAACCACCACCTATAACAGTATGCAATATTAAAGAAGTAAAAAAGTTTATTAGCAACTTGCCAGAAGAAAAAGCTAATGGTTATGAACAAATTAAATGAACTTTACCCATAGTGAAATTAAGGTTTTATCAGTTAACGAATATCATTTAAAAGTTAATAAAAGCAAATATAAGATAATCCAAAAAATATGACTACTGTTCAACGTTTCTTGTTGACAAAAATTCATACATATATAATAACATATAGCGTTTTTTATGCTCCAAAATTAATACTAGTATATGCTTCAAAACACGAATAAAAACAAAGACAGTATTAAAACTGAACTTATACTCAGTGATGTACTATTATAATTAATAATGTTTCCAAATATTAACCAAATTAACGTTAGAGATTAATAGACTGAAAAATAATCAGTATAAACTTACTAATAAATAAAAAGCGTCAAAAAAAGTTTCTTAATAAAAATTACCTGGAACTCCAAGGGCTAATTCAACGAAAAAGAAAATTAGAAACCTTTTTATGTAACGAAAAAATAAACACATCTTTTATATTAGAAACACACTTTCCCGAATGGTCATCTATAAAAATGTATGGTTATAGAACATACGCAACACCGCATCCTACCGGCAGAGCACGTGAGGAAAACTAATAATCATAAAAGAATATATTAAGCATTCTAAACTTGAAACATTTCAGCATGAGGTTATACAAGCTTCCAATGTCTATATTAATATTGGACGTAATTACTTAACAGTTTCAACAATACATTGCATTTTTCAAAACAAGTAATCAAAGAACTTTTTATTGAGTTTTTTAAAGTTCTAAGCGATCAATAAATTGCACATGACGATTACAATTACAAGTATCATTTTTTGATAGCGATAATAGCACGAGTAGATGAAAGCATCTGTATGAAGATGGCATTGAAGTTAATGTAGAATATGTAACAAATTATTAGTTACCATATTGGCCGACTAACAAAATGAAAAGGTAAATAGCATTACTAGACATATTTGTACATAAATGTATAGCTTCAAATTACACTAAAATATTGAAAGAATAGCTGAATTAACGTCAGATTAATATAAAATTAATATCTCAGTGCACATATCATAGTGTTCATGCGTTAAACAATATTAGCTCCATATGTTTGCTAATAAGCTTGTAAATTGGGAAGTATTTCTTGATCATCTTAACCAAAAGTATTGACTTGTCGTTTAAATATAAGTCGACAAAGGATAAAAATATAAATATAAAAATATTTACAGATAATATAACTAAAGATGTTGACCAATCTCCTCACAACAAGGAATTTATATTTGATAAAAAAAAGACTTATCCTTTAAAGATAGAAACTTAAAAAATCGCAAGAAAAAAGGCGTCAAACATTACATTAAGCGACAAAAGCAAATGGCATCGACCTAACAAAATCCTAAAAAAAAAATATGACTCAGTAAAAAATAAAACTTTCAAGATTTATATAAGTGACTTATCTGCTGCAAAAAAACACAGATCACTTGTTGTGGAAAGCAACCAGATGTATAAAAAGGCCTCAAATACAAGATGGTCTCGTAAAATATAAAAATTAAAAAAAAAATTTGGGAAATCAGTTTAAAAAAAAATTCAAGATAACTTCCATGTAGACTAAAAATTGGACAACAAATTTTCTTATAGATATTTTATAGTTAAATTTTTCGATAAATTCAAAAAAATTTGAAATTCTACAATTAATAAAAAAATTATCTTGCATATTACTATAGAAAATTTTTTTTTGCTTTTATGGTCCAGTGAGAGCTTATGCAGCTTCTCAAAAGTTTCTTAACCATGAATATTCAGCTATATATAGTTAATCTGTCGTTGGAGATATGGTAACTCCAATTATTGAATTTATCATTTTATGATAATTTATAATTTATGAGACATTGCGAATCAGGCACTACGGCCTTACCAACTCAGCCATACTATCTCTCTTTAGAAACTTAATTTAAATACATAAATTTGTATTAACTTAGATTATAGTAAAAAATACATGATTCATGGAAAAAATATAATTTAATATGAAATGTATTTCTCAAATAATTCTTCAAAGAATATCACCTTTACCTAATTAACCAATTAAGTAATTGGAAATTTGAACTTAAATTAATTAATCAAGTTTTATTATAATATGCTAGGTTAAGCCTGAATATCATTAAAATATATTAATATATTCAAGCAATTTGTATAAACGAATACTTGGTCTTTTGAAAATATACCGCCAATGCATTTTTGAAATTATAAGTCGATTAACGTTTTAGAAAATGAGATATGCCCTTTTATTCAAGATAATGTTATTTAATGAGACTATTGTAAAATATTTATTAGAGTATTGGATTAATATATATACAATGTATATACATATATATACATGTATATATTATAATATTTAATGGAACCACTTTCAATATTCCTATGATATTTTATTTACGTGGTATAAATACAATATATTTAAGTCTTAACTTCATATTTTAATAGTAATTTACTTTGATGAGAAGAGGCAGATGATATTTTATACTTTTATCTAAATTATAATAACTTAACAATCTTTAAATAAAATTATAATTAAATAGTACCTTCATTTATCAACATTTCCAAAAAGTATTTTGAAATAATCGTCGAACAATTTTTGAGTAAGCTTATAATATCACAATTATATTATTTGATTTATATTTTAAACGCAATTTACAAACAAAGAAGAATAAGCTATAGTGGTTAAATAAGAATTTTTACTACAATTTCCGTATTTTTTCATCGATATAAAACAACTTAAATTAAATATAAATTATATTTTTAAAAACTATGAATACATAAGTGATAAAAACTTAAAAAAAATCGGTACATTTTTAGTTACTTCTTTTTGTAAAAAGAAATAATTCCCAAAAATGTTAAATGCCTTTTTTTATTATAAAATGATATTGTATATTCATTAGACAATTGTCATTTTATCCTTTTCTTTTAACAATTTAAATTCAACTGATATATAAAGTTAAAAGCCCATAAAAAACTATCGTTTTATGTATACATTGTTGTTGAATCTGTTCTTATATAATGATTTCTGACAACAACAACTTCTACCTGTTAAAGCTTTTTAATGGTAATTGAATTCGGTTGATATCTTCCATCGTGATAATGAGAAATCTTTAAAATGAATGCAAATAAATTATTGAAAAAGCAATAAAGAGTATTTCTATTTCTATCTCTGAAAGCATTATTTAAGGTTAAAGAAAATATTTAATTCAAAGCTCTTAAAAGTCATTAAAAATAATAATTTAC